TTTGAGACTCTCTGACCGCGGGCTCAATCCCGGTCGGGGTATGGTTTGTTTGCAGTCGTGTCATTACGATTTCGTGAGTCATGTTTATTTGCGATATCTGGATATACAGGCAGTGTGTTATTGCCCTAGCCCCAGAGGGGCCATGCCTGCAAAGAGAGAGAGAGAGAGAGAGAGAGAGAGAGAGAGAGAGAGAGAGAGAGAGAGAGAGAGAGAGAGAGAGAGAGAGAGAGAGAGAGAAAGAGAGAGAGAAAGAGAGAGAGAGAGAGAGAGAGAGAGAGAGAGAGAGAGAGAGAGAGAGAGGAGTAGGCCTTGTTGACTGAGTGAAGGCCGCTGAGAGAGTGAGAGAGAGGCAGGGGTGGGCAGGCTGGCATGCCCACCAAGAGGCCTGGCCATTTGTGGAAACTATGGGAATTAGGCATGTAGGCTCACTGGCTACATTTCTCCTCACATGTGATAGTGATACTGTTGTGATCCTTGAAGGTGGTCCTCAGACATTACCACACATAGGTCCTTGTTGTGTAATTAGAGTTTGTAGTATACTCAGTTCTAGCTATTATTTCCTCCAGTTTTCCATAATGGAGTAGTTGAAATTTGTCCTCATTGAACATCATATTGTTTTCTGTTGTCCATTGGAAAACTTGGTCTATATCTACTTGGAGATTTACCGTATCCTCAGTGGATGACAGTCTCATGCAGATTCTAGTATCGTCTGCAAAGGATGACACATTGCTGTGGTTTATATCTGTCTATGTCTGATATGAGGATGAGGAACAGGATGGGAGCGAGTATTGTGCCTTGTGGAACAGAGCCTCTTGCTGTTGTAGCTTCAATTTAACTCTGTTTACCACTACTCTTTGTGTTCGACTGGTTAGAAAGTTGAAGATCCATCTGCTCACTTTGTCAGTTTCCTTTATCGAGCATTTTGTGCTCTATTACACCACGATCGCACTTGTCAAAGGCTTTTGCAAAGTCTTTGTATACTACATCTGCATTTTGTTTGTCTTCCAGTGCATCCAAGACCATATCATAGTGGTCCAGTAGTTGCGAGTGGCAGGAGCGACCTGCTCTGAACCCATGTTGCCCTGGATTGTGCAATTGTTGGGAATCCAAGTGATTTGCAATCATGCTTCTTAGGACTCTTTCAAATAATATTTGTTTGATGTGGGACGTTAGAGCTATTGGTCTATAGTTCTTAGCTATTGCTTTGCTGCCACGCTTATGGAATGGGGCTATATCCATAGTTTTTAGTGACTGCGGGATTTCACCCGTGTCTGTGCTCCCTCTCCATAGCATATTTAAGGCACGCGAAAGGGGTTTCTTGCATTTCTTAATGAACACAGAGTTCCACGAGTCTGGGCCTGGGGCTGAGTGCATGGGCATGTTGTCAGTGGCTTTCTCAAAGTCCAGTGGAGTTAGTGTTGTCAGAAATTTGGCATGCATTGACAGGGTTTTGAGGTGTATTCGTGAAAAAAAATAGTTTATTCTATGGTGATGTATTATAGGGGGGATTATATGGATGGTGATAAAAGGTATAATCTGTTCATATATCTGGTTTTTGCTATCGTTTTGTCTATAGGGGCTTTGATTATTAAGCCTAATTTAATTAAGATTCTCCTAGATTGAGATTGGTTAGGTTTGATTTCTTATGTGTTAGTGATTTATTATCAGAATGAGACGTCTGCTGATACGGGGATATTGACGGTGTTGCCGAATCGTGTGGAGGATGTAGGGATTTTGTTAAGGATTTCTTTGTTATTTATATTAGGCGGTTGGAATTTTATTTTTTACATGGAGTATTTAGATGAGGATTTTTTATTAATGAAGATTTTTTTGTGTGTAGCTGCTATAACTAAGAGGGCTCGAATTTCATTCTCGGCCTGGTTGCCTGCAGCTGCGTCTACACCAGTTTCGGCTCTGGTTCATTCTTTGACTTTAGTGACGGCTGGTGTTCAGATTTCAATTCGATTTAGTAGGGCTCAGGAGGGCTCTTCTGTTCAGACTTTTGTTAATTATTTTTTGTTTGACAGTGTTTATGGCGAGGTTGGAGGCGAAATTTGAGTTTGATTTAAAAAAAAGTATTGCCTTACTTACGTTAAGGCAGTTGGGGGTGATGATAAGTATTTTAGCCGTAGGGTTTGTTGTTCTTGCTTTTTTCCATTTACTGACTCGTGGTTTATTTAAGGCATTATTGTTTATGTATGTTGGTATGGTTATTCATAGGGTTAAAGAGTACCAGAATATTGGAGATATAGGGAGGCTGGTGGTATGTATACCTTTGACTAGGATTTGTATAAATTTAGCTAATTTGGCTTTGAGCGGTATACCTTTTTGGCAGAGTTTTATTCTAAGGATTTGATTTTAGAGGAAGCGTTCATGAAGGAGGTAATTTTTTTAAGGTTTATTTGTATATTTTAGTTACGGGCTTAACGGTGTGTAATATTTTTCTGTTGGTTTATTATACTTTGAGTTATTTACCTAATATGAGATCTATGATATTTATTAGGGAGAAATATAGAATAATAGCGGGAGGAATTATAGTGTTAAGGCTTAGGGCAGTAGTTGGCGGTTCTGTTGTGGTTCTTGTTTCCGGAGTCTTA